CACTCTCCCGAGTGAGCCACGGGCCGGCCCTTGCTAGGCACTCTTCTAAGTGCTTCAGGTAAGTTGTTTCATTCTTACAGCTATGGTGTAGCAACTACTAATATCCTCCTTATAAAGGTGAGGAATTGTAACATCATCAAAGTATGGTGATATACCTAGGGTCTCACTTCCAGCTAATAAGTAGAAGAGCTGGGATTCTGACCCAGGAAGTCTGGCTCCAGCGCTTGTGTTGTTTAATGCTTCACTTTGCTGTCCATTATCCTATCCATTGAAACAGGAAACTGTTAACTGTAACAATTACTATGAAGTAATTTAGTGTGTCTGACTCTATCCTCACGTTTCTCCTGCATCGTGGTTGCAGTTTCTCCATCCCAGGGCTCGAACCTCCCTAACTGCCCTAACTCACTTCTGATGACTGCTTGGTAGTGGCACTTATCTGACTATTCAGCTGACTGAGTTGAGAGGGAGAGGAGATTGAAATTAAACAAGTACTTAATCATTCTCATCCTTCCCAATAGTGTAATTTCCATGAGAGCAAGAACCATGTCTCTTCTACTGACCACCCTATCCCCCATGCCTGGCACATAGTAAGCAGACAACAAATATGTGTTGAAGTTAACTGAATTGTATACAGTTTGCCAGGGAGCTGCTGAGCCAGTCTTTTATTTCAACAATTGAAGGGTAGTTGTGGAAGCCATGGGGGTGGAGAAAGGACAAGAGAAAGAGCTAAACTGACTTTTTATTTTTCTTACTTTTATCAAATGCATGCATATGGAAGAAAGGTAAAAATAGAAGGATTTATAATAAAAAGCAACAATCCTCTGCCCCACCCCTTCCTGCTGCCAGTTCCTTTCCCAGGAGCTATCACTTGAAACTTTTTCTATTTTTAGTAATTCTGGACATTAGCTCCATATCTTTAAATTATATGTCTATATCATTGCTTCTTAATCAATGTTAGACATTATCACTGTTATCCCAGTAAGAAATATGAGAATTTATGAGCCTGTTCTTTCTGGAAGACCTGGAGTGATGAGAGGTAAGCCTGTTTCTTGTCTAAGGATTGCTAAAGCTCCCTGTGCGTAGCTCTGTTAGGGCAATCACCATACCATCCGAAATCATCAGCTATGATTCTTGTTGGTTTCCTTATGACAGGCTGAGCAATTTGAGCACAGTAGTCAAGTACTATCCCTTAAGTTTGTGTCCCCTAGACCTACCAGCGACTTCCAGGTAGCAGGCAGGTTTATTACATCTATTTATTGAATGAATCAATGAAGGACTCCTGTTGATAAAGTTACTGAAAAGCTCATGAGTCATGAAAAAGGGAAGATCTCAATGACTGATCATCCAAGAAGCTAGTCAACAACTGGTTTCAAGGTTGATGGAACAAATCTTCCTGCCACCCCAAACAGCCAACACTTGATATTGCCAAACCTCGTCTGCACTGAGCATGGAGAGCCACATCCTCAATGAGGGGAAATGTTCTCACAATTTCAAAATGAGTAATAATATAAGCTGTTTAAATGCAGATTTATCATTACTGCCTTGAAGATATTTTGATCAATGTAAAATTATAGTTGGTACATTATTTTACTGATTATTTAAATTGATCTTTTCAAAAAGGAGTTGGACATTTATTCTACTTTTAACAAATATTTCAAAATGCTAATTTTAGTCAACTTTATTATATACCATGATCTAGAATCAGAGCCTAAAAATTAAACACCCAGAACCACCATTAGTTGTTTTAGAAAGTAAATGTAAGTTCCTCTCCAAATTTAATCTTTTTCCTTATTTCTTATTTCAGTAAATGACATCTGTGTTGACTAAGTATCCCAAGCCAAAGCTTGTTTTCTTGACTTGTCCCTTGTCTCCCACATAGACCAGGTCCTGACAGTTCTATTTTTAAAATAATGCTTGCATCTGTCTCCTCACACCAGCCCCACTGTAACTCTCTTAATTCAGGCAGGATCTCATCATCATCTTCCAAAACCTTTGCAATAGACACCTGCTTCAGTCCCCCCCACCAACTGTACATCCCTCTGCAACATGCCCCCAGAGTGGTCTTTCAAAAACACAAATCTTATGGTATTTTAAAAATGCACTCAGGTTGGGCAATAATTATATAAAGTTACCCTAAAATTACTTAACATAGGTCTTCAGACTGCTGTCATAACTCCTATAGCTAGATAAAGTAGGATCAGGAGGAAGATGGTTCTAAAAGTCAGGAAGGGCAGTAATATTATGTCTCTGTGTCAATTCCTGATGCACCTCAATAGTCAAGGGGCATAGAGAAGAGGATTGAAAGAAAGGACTGATAAGAGATATGTAACCGTAAGGCTGATGTTCAGGATCAGCTCCAGCCCTCAGGGGTAAGTGGACGGCTAGGGAAAGAAAGTGAGACACAAGTATAGGGATGCGGATAATGCAGAAATTCAGAGGCCCCCCCCCCCCCCCCCCCCCCCCCCCCCCC